AAGCAGTGCCACTGCTGGGCTAAAAGCTAAACGGAGAGAACCCACACAGACATGGCTACAGCAACGTGGTTGTGGAGTGATTTTCTAGAGAAAATATGACTAATCAAGATTTTACATGAGGGCAGACTGAACTTCTTAATTTCTACACAGTGCTAAATTACATTAAATATAACAATTTCCTTTACAGATAAACACAGTTTTAACTTTCAGTATTTCTTACCAAGACGTTTACATCCTTGATGGCTGAAACACTGATCTCCTACTCCCTAAAACACCCACAAAGCTAAATAGCTGCTTACGTTAACATAATGATAGTGACTTTCTTCTTTACTGATAAAGATGTGGCATATTATTATTATTAGCCGTTACCACTCTTGTTGTATCACCCTTGCTTACAGTACCATGTACCATATGGAGATTACCAGAAACACACTAACTGGCCACTTCAGTAGTTCCACCTTGTCAGAACCAAGATTGCTCAGAGAGTTTGAGACGTAGCACTGCTCTACAGCAACCCCTAGTGGTGAGAAACACTTCTGACCACTTTAAAGTAACAGAATATACAAAACATTTCTTATTTTTGGTCAAGTTTAGCAGGGAAAGTAATTTTAAAGGTTTTGAAACATTAATCGAAAAACTAAAGGCCAGAGCCAAGGAGTCCAGTTTTACTTTCAACAATCATACTGTTCTGGTATAAATGTTGAAATTTGATTACTCTATTAATTCCCATAACATACTGGTTAAATGTATTGCAAAGGAAAGGTATTTTTGGTAAATATTTAATTGCACATATCTAAGTTTGGAGCTGACAAATCATATGGCTGCAGTTTTGGGGGTTCTTCTGGGCCAACATACTGGAAAGAAAAGTGAAATACAAAGTCATAATCTGGGAACTGTTTATATTATTAGTTAGTGTCTAAGATTGCAAGAAAGATCCCAATGAAAATGCAAAATGAATATGTTGCTACATACATCACGAAAGTGATGAAGAAGTTGAACGCATAAACTTTTAGAAAGTTGCACCCAGGCAGTAAATATTAAGAACTTCAGTGTGAAACTGAGCATTGAGATAATTAAGTCTGGCCTATTAATTTGTTCCAGCATTTCATCTATCAACCAGCACAATAACTCAGATTACTAACTTTCTAACTAATACATAGATTTCACTTAAATCTACGCTGGAGCGGTGGGATAAGATTGGAATGACAAAGTGGAAGTGCACGTGATCAGTGATTCAAGAAGCTGCAGGTGCAAAGTTGCGATAGAACACACAGTTAAACACTCGGTGCCATAAGTAGGGGTATAGTGAGAAAAGGAGGAAAAGGAGAGAAACAGCAGGTCCGTCTGTCACACGCAGACTCAAGCACCTCCACTG